TTTTTGGGGGGGGGGGGGGGGGGGGGGGGGGTTGGAGTTGTTTGCTTGTTTTATCTCTCTTTATGTCAAAACATGTGCAGTTGTTTGCAAATGCAGTCTTGTATTGTATGGGTGAGATGATTAGAAATGCTCAGTGCTTACGAGCTAATTAAGCAATGAAATCATTTTATTATATGTACTTCTCAATGGGGTTTGGGTCTTAATTTCTCTGGGATTTTGATAAGCACTAATGAATAGGTAGGTACACGTGGTGACGATGACAGAACCTTTAATTATGCTGATATTAACGAAAAAAAAATTCTCAATAAGACAAAATAACAACCGTGTAGTTTTATCTACTTTTTAATCTAATGGTAATTAACATATATTAGTGGATATTGCTCCTTTAGTCCTTGTTTCCAACTTTATTTACATAAAAAAATTAATTTGTTTGGTTTTCTCTTTTGACTAGTATGGAAATAAATAAAATGGCCCCATAAATTTGCTTTATGCTACACTTTTGGAGATTTAAGTCAAAAATGAAAAGAATTACAGAGACATTGAGATCTTTTATTCACAAGATTAGGCTTTAATGTATGGTTAACATGTAACAGGGAAACGCTCATCACGTTTTAACAGTAATTAGGACCTTAAAAAGCACTTAAAAGGGGTAATTACTCTTTAGAATCCTTAAAAGTTAAAAGTAAACTTTGAATTCTAAGATTAGTTTCCCATTTCACATTTCACATATCACAATCACAAAAAGCACTTTGTTTTGATTTTGACAATTGAATTTGAGCCCTCTCGTCCTTTCTATTGACAATCAAAAAGAGTTAAAAAAAAAAGAGTCTTTCTATTGCAAATTGGAAGGAATAGAAACTTTGCTTATTCTAGAGTTATCTTCAAGAGTAGAATATTTCGTATACCTTATTGCTACTCACTTTGACTTCATACCAATTTTTTTTTTTATTTCTTTTGAGTTGAGGGTCTATAAAAAATAATCACTATTAAAAATAGAGGTTTCATTTATCGTGAATTAATAAAAAATTGTGAATAGTCATTGAACACCTTTTTAGTGAAAAAATTTAGTGGGAAATAGTGATTTTTTTTTAGTATCGAACCTTTTTATTTCATAAAGATAGAGATAAGGTTTGTGTATATTTAACATTCTGTAGACTTTATTTATAAGAGTATATATACTGAATATGTTATTAGTGTTGTTTAAATGGTAGCAAATAAAATAGGATGAGAAGAGTATCACTTTCTAGTGGGAATTAGTAGCCACTTCCTTCGTTGCACTTTTCTACTTTTCTTATATAAATTCACCATTGAGATTTCCATCTTTATTAACATTATTATTACTAATAACTTTTCTTACTCTTGTATTGTCTTTGTCACCATTCAACTTCAAAAATCTTCGTTCACACTCCACAAA